TTATTTATTTATTTTATTTAGTGTTCTGTCTGAGGACAGGTCCATATGAACAGGATCCTTCCATCCTTTTCTCGGACTGGGACCTGTTCATATACGTTCTTGGCAGATGATCCAGAAGTGGTTTGCCATTGCCTTCTTCTGTGTGTGAATGGGATGCCACGGAGAAACTGGGGAAGCCCCCGGAGGAAAACTCCGTGTTGCCTAGACCACGGCCTTGCCCAATACAAGTTATAAATTCGGGCACCGCCGGGAATCGAACCCGAGACCCCAGGATTACAAGGCCAGCGTTCTAACCGCTAGACCACCGTGGCGTGGTCTGAACTTACAATGCATTATTTAAATAATGTACTCGAAATAAGGAAAACCTAAAGATTAAAAATAAGAAACTATATTTTGTAACTTTTGATTTGAAACGTCGTCTCTCACATCGAAGAAACAACGCAGACCGAGGATGGTGAGGAGAATATTTGTATCTGTGAGGCCACTCGGAAGATCTAGGCGCAGATGGGAGGTTAATATTAACATGGGTATTAGATAAATAGGGTTAAGGGATGTGGATTGTATTCATGTGGCTCAGCACAGATCCTGGTACCTTCGGGTTACATAAAAGACGGGAATTTCTTTAGCTAAGCGTATTATTAGCGTCTCAAAACTGGATCAGTTTCACTGTTACTTAATTTTCCCCCAAATCTGTGAAGCAAAATCCTTCTTGGGGGGAGCTGATAATCGCTCAGTTGGTCAAGATCCCCGGCTCGTTTTTTGGGAATTTTTCATGCTATTTATGTTTGTCTTGGGCAGGAATGATCCTTGCGGAGCGCAATGTCCAATGTCGGAGTTGCAAAATCATAAAATGCTTAATAAAGACAAGGAAAGAACAATAAGAAGAACACCTATGACGACTGCACATTGTGGTTTGGACATACGTTAGTCGGTTATGGTAACTTAGTCGGCACCTCATAATCAATTTCCTTCATCTTGGACATTAGTTACATCAGCAGGCCTATCGTCTTGAATAAACTGCTGATAGACTGACTTCAACTCGTCGGCTTAAATAATTTTCGAAATATAATAACTTTCAAGTATGTGTCACTTACCCACACACATTAACCTAACCTAACCTAAACTAACCTAACCTAACCTAAACTAACCTAACCTAACCTAAACTAACCTAACCTATATTTAAAGCGATGTGTCCCGATAACCCACAAGTACCCAAAATTGATATATTTTTTAGTTCGTAAGCCTACGCAATTTTTTACTATAAGGAAAACGCGTCAGGTCGAACCTCTGAGCCCATCGATTTCGCCGATCTCAGTCTCATTTCCGTTTTCTCCAGAAATCGGGGCGCGTCTTGTGATTGATGGTTTCTAAGAATCGATATTGCGTATTTTTTTTAGCTGAAAAGCAATTGATAAATCGATGAAATGCGGCAGTTTGTTTACATATTACGAAGGTTACGGAATAACTGCCAAGATAGTAAAGTGTAAAAAATTAATTGGAATTCTACTATAAGGATTCATGAACCACTCACTGCGTTTTGAGGAGTTAAAGAAATGAAGACGTACCGGGACTCGTTGGGGTGCATATAATAGAAGCCCTCTTACTCAGCAATGTCGTAAATTTATTATAAAATGTAGTTGATTTGTATGTGAAGTTGATTGCCAAGAGGGAAATACAATTTTATGAATTAGGATTTTCAATAGCAATGTAATCTATTAATAATTCTCTACGAATGTATTCCAATTTACCTTTCCATTTATGAATTAGGATTTTCAATAGCAATATAATCTATTAATAATTCACTACGAATGTATTCCAATTTCCCTTTCCGAACTGTTCGCATTCTTTTAAAAAAATTTGATCGAGTTTAAAGTTCATAGTCGTGTTTACCGTCACCATATGTACATATGAAAATCTCCATTCGGACTACTTGGAATTTCATTAAAGTCAATACTGATTAATAATTTTATCGTCAAAAATGTTTCTTTCCATAATCCACAATTTCTTGAAACTCATATTATTTACTTAGAACATTCATTGCACGTTAATGGGTTGTGATATTATCAGGTGATAAAATGAAAGACAACGCCCCTGAGTCTCGATGTGTAAATCGGAGAAAAATATGGAGGAAGCAGATGCTTTTCTCTCGTAATTTTCCTTAACTACTCTTTGAAATTTTCGCAATTCACGCTCACTATAACAAATGCAATTAGTTAAAATACGTTTTGCTGGGTAATTATGGAGTTAAACTCTATAATTCCTTTACACAGAGGCGAGTAGGTATACCGTTGCATTTGCGAACTAATCACGTAATTACTTATTTCACATCTACATGCATTGTTATTGTTGCTTTATATTATTATATTCCACTTACCTTCTTGAGGGAATAGGATGACTTGATCTGTCGTCCCGTAGAAATCGTCCATATCCGCGTCAGACTCCAACTTATTAGACTTGTGTAAAACGGTTCCATTGGACAATGGTTTTGGTAGTGTAGACAGTGGCATTGATACAGAAGGCGGTTCTTTGAGTCTCAGTTTTTTTAAAATCTGTTGTTTGATTATCTCTATTCTTAGAGCCGTAATTTCATATTTTTCCATATTTGATTCCTGGAAAACTCGTCTAGCCCCACACCCTGGGCAGTTACTCCTAAGGGATTCTGGAGAGAGATCAGACAAAGTCATCCATGCTCTTAGAAGATGTTGATGACGGTAGCGCGTTTGTTCCGTGTCTGCAATGCTAGAACCAAAGATCACGGCGAGAAGGAAACAATGTGTTGGAACCATGACTGTAAGCGCGTGCCGGCGAGTGATAAAGGAAGACAACTGCTCCAACTTCTCTGACCGCCGAGACTTCCCACTCTCATACCACAGATGACCTACGTCTAGTGCGTACAAATTTCATTGTCCAAGTGCCCCTCCTTGAAGAGAAGCTGCACTACTATTGGTCAGTCTTAAGTACAGCATCAGGTGGGTACGAATTGAACACTGACAAGCAGACAGAAGCTAAACGCTGATACTATTTAAATAGTTCCGTTTTCAGGATTAATATTTTAACAGTGCGGAATGTGGTATTCTGGGTTGCGATTTCGAATCTCATATAACTTTAGCAGAGTATTAATGGTAGTACACACAAGTGATTCGGAAACAACGCGCGGAGGAGCAGGTATATTAGATTTGTTACGTTAAAATGTTGTATCAACTGCAAGAGTTATTTGCCATTTTCTGTGGGGAAATTGTAGGTGTGGTTATGGGGGGGGGGGGGGCACGAAAATCTTGTGAAAATAATCCCGAGTGCACACCTAATGAATGCAAGTCGGATGCTGTACTGCAATTCTATTAGTCTGCTTGCCAATGATTTTCAAAACAGACCATAGATAGCAATGGAAGTGTATTTATTTATTCTGCCACCTATACTAATGTAACCGAACTACATGGAAAGGATGGCAACACGCAGAGCCCTTCGACAAGCTCGGAAAGTGTATTCCATACTGGAATGATTTTGAAGATGACCGTCTTCTGGGATGTTGCGCCGTGTAGTTTGGTACATTTCAAAAATGCTTACTGCCTTCATCATCCATGGACAACATGACAGACAACAGTCATCTTCTGTATTGGAAAATATTTTCTGTTAAATCTTAGTTTTGTATTTATTTAATATTCTCAGTAGCTCAGAATATACAGCATCAGATGATAAGATGAATAATGAACTGACAAAAGATTTATATATGTTGATATTCTTAATAAAATGAAGCAGAAATAAACTGTTACAGACCGATATCAACCTAGGAAATTATATCTGTGAAGAGACTCCTACAGTCGTAGGAACGATTCAAGTTCCTTTCTTTACTAATTTCACCTGTGTTTTCTTTGGTGGCAACCAATGCAACAAACTTGTATCTACAACAAGCTTCGGTTTTTTAAAATGACTTGAATTGATAAGGAGATTAACCAAACGTGGAGTTGTACAAATCACATGTTCTCCTTTCCAGTACTTTAGCATTCCCATGGAGTTCAGTGTCGCCGTGATGTCACTTTCCGTGATACTCGTCATCTGACTAATTTTCTTGATCGAGATAATTCCCCTGAAGTCCCGTAATATCTCAAGGATAACCCACGACCAATATGAGCGATAACTCAAGCGTCCAAGATCTGATAATGGCTTTTCAGGGCTGCCAACAACCTCTTCTTGCTTGGAAAGTTCATAGCTGAATGCAATGAGCAACTTTCCATAACCCTGGCGCTGATATGGAGGAAGTGTCAAAATGCACGCTACATTATAACCATCTGGAGAGTCCTTTTCTTTTGAAAAATAACCGACGAGATGAGAACCATGTTTATCCACTTCACACAGTATGTAGAAAAGAAATGGTTCGACATCAAAGAAAAGAGTCTTGTGATCAAGAAACAATTTTGCCAAAAGACACAAATTCTGACAGTACACCTTATGATCTCTCCCGTCAACTTCCCATATTGCAACTGAACTTTTACGATAGATTTCTCTGCCTAGAGGCTGCCTAAAAATACACTCACTCATGTGATACCTAAATGTCTTCTCTAGTCGCATGTACTTGAGGCAATATTCACATATCCACAGTTTTGACTGCTTGCCATACTCTTCTGGATATGGACTAAAGTACCAGGTGTCAATCTCGTATCGCCCAATTTGGACACGATCAATGTATTTTACTTTTGTTAGAGCTTCATGCTCCTCTTCAAGAGCACTAGATGTTGGGTCTATATCTTCTTCACTGACAATTCTCTGTAAAATACAAATTTCAAGGGTTTTCAGTAAACTGTGATCTCACATCATACCAGTTCAGTAGCAATGTATGAAAAACACGAGACCTTTTAAATTCAGTTACATGTCCTGCACTGAAAACTTCTGAACCAGTAGAAACAACTTCATGAAAGATTAATGAACTTGTTCCAGTTAGTATAAGCTGACAAATGTGCATGGCGAGACAGCAATCACCATTTTCTTCACAGATGGAAATTTTTCATAAGTGAAGCTTTTCAAAATCATGATGCAAAATTTTATTTTCACCTTAAATAAGAAGTAATATAATACTTTCATAAAAAATGGCTTTTGGTTTCACAATACACATGTAACCAATGTTACAATGAGAAACACTGTCAATATTTTCAAATTTCTATGTGAAATGTTGGTGTGTTACAAAACACAATCATTAATACCATACAGACCCAGTGGTCCCAATTTCATTAAAAAAATACATGAGATTTTATAGATAAAAATTAGTAGGTCACAAGGTATTAATAAAACTTCCTCCTTACTCACTCCGTAATTCACTAGCATGAAGGAATAAGTATTTTTCTATATTGACAATGTTAAGTGAGAAATTTTTAGGCACACTTTCTCCAACTTAGTACAAGTGGAAATCTGAAAATTTTGAAATAAACCAAGTCATTCCTTCTTTACATAATTAAGCTTAAATTATTTTAATGCAATATTTTGTTTTGACATTGAGGGTTTAAAAACAGTTATTGTTTTTCATGCAGTTTCATATAATGTTAATCACTTCTGATTTTCCAGCTGATTTTGGTTTACAACACATTCAACAGAATGTCAAATTCTGGTTACTGTGTGCAGTAAGCATTATTTGTGATAAACATACCTAAAGCTCAAAATATGCAAGTTATGGGAGATCACACATAAAGATTCCAATGGTTTTAAAATCAGATAATTTGTCTTCTCTCACCAAGTTAATGCATTCCAGTCTTTGATAATATACTTGCCTTCTGAAGAAGATGAACTTCACAGTGTTTCCGTTTCTGGTTGCGTGTTATTTTTCTGTCTGTCTCATCGAATAGCAAATTCATTGTCCTACATTGTTCATTCTGTTTCCAGTCCTGATCAGACAGCTGTGTTGTCATCACCCTGAGTGTAAAAAATAAGCACCAATACTGGATATGTAATGTTTCTTGTTAATGTGTGCCTTCACTTATTTAAAATAATACAAATTACATATCTTGAGCCAGCTACATCTCACTGTCCATGTTGCAACAAAAGAGAACTCTTTTAATTTCAGGGTGTATGCTACTGACAGTGCCATTAAATAAATAACAAATAAATAAATGGATTATGCATATATAAAACATTTAATAAACATACCTTTTTCTCTGAACCCATTCATCCAAACGTCTGTCATATCCTTCATAATGGACATAATAATCAAAGTATCCTTCGTCATTATTACGTCGTGATTGAATAATGATGGCTGGATCTGAAAACAATGATTTGAATACAAATTTAAAACAAATTGAATTTGTTTGTTTTTGAATGTTAAATGAACACAGTGTCTCAATTGTTCTTTGCTTTTAATACAACCCATATTTCCAAAAATCTCAAAGTACTCCAGACAAGCCCAGTTCCTCAAAGCACCCCAAGCATGTTATAAACCCTCAGTATCTGCTTACATTAGAATATGGCATTATGGCCTGCTTTTAATACTTTATTTGAAAAAGAAAAGGCTACCGTTTGTTAAGGATGTTCCATGTTTCAGCAAATACTACATTTGTCATCTTCAGGGCAAATGGATGATTCGATGATAATTGGTCAGAATAATTTGCATCAGGTTAGACTACTTTATATAAGAATAAATTAAGTTCAAATAAGGTAAGATCATTTTTAATTTGGAGGACTGTTGGGATAGGATACACACAATAACCAAACAAGGCATGGCACTGAAAAGTCAAATTATAGCGATATTGAATATTGTAATACTCTGGACGAATTAACAAATTCCCCCCCCCCCCCCCCCAAT